ATATAGATAAATAGATAATATATTATATATATATATAGATATATATAGATATAGATATATATATATATATATAAAGATATATATATATATATAATATATATATATATATATATAATATATATATATATATATAGATATATAATATATCGATAATATATATATATATATATAGTATATATTACAGTGTCCTCGTTTTTCCGTAGTTCTCGGGAACATAGATTTCGGAAATCATAGGGATATATACGTATAAACATGGGCTCGCCTAATCATAGGTTTGACTCACGAATAGTATTTCGGTCCAGGACACGTACGCAGGTGTGAGAGCGCGGGGCGCCTCCCCTACCCAGCTCATCTGGCATTGTTTTACCAGTGAGCCAAGGTCCCTCACCTGCTCCTACAAAATATTTCATATCCACTCATTATAGTGCTTGCAAGTACTAAAAAGCAACCATGTGGCTCCAAAACGAAAGCTCCTAGTGCCCACTATCGTCCCATTGCTCTACCAGTGCCAGTTTGCAAAGTGAGGAATGCACCTAGTAAATAGACGTTTAGTGTGGTATTTATAGAGACACACAACAGTCTCTCCAACTCGTCAATATGGCTTGCGTAAGGGACGTTCTAACTGTAACCCTTACTATACGCTTGATACGTTTGTTGCGTAATGCCTTTAACGAATAACCACTCAGTATTGCCATATTTTTTGAACCTTGAGAAGGCATGACCGAACACAACTTGGAGGTAATAAATATTTTAGCCCAAGCCCACTGGGGGGCCTTATGGTCCTTCGAGGCAATCTACCATCCTTCCTTAAGAACTTTTTACTGACAGGCATTTCCGTGTTCAGGTTAAAATGTGCTCTCCCGGACTTTAATCCAAGCTAAGGTGTTCCCCAGGATGTGTTCTGAGCACAATCACCTTTTTTTCTCCTTTCTATTAATGATTGGCCTCAGTCTTCATCGCATATTTGGTCCATCACTCCTATGTTTGATGACTTCGCTATTGCCTGTGCAGGCGCTGACTGTCACCTCATTTACAGTTTCGTCTCCAGCATGTGGTCGACCGTGTTTTCCAATTGGGCCACAGCCGCACATAGGTTTGAAATTTTCCACCTAAAACCCACCAAATTACTTTCATACTAGACGCCTCTGTCCATCTCCGATCATCCCATTTGTAACCTCTATGGCGCCCGTAATCCCTGAACGTGATACAGTCAAGTTTCTGGCCCCTCTTTGATCTGTAGGTTATCCTGGAAACCTCAGACATTACCTCTCTGAAGGACAACTTGTCACCAGCTTGCTGAACTTCTTATAACCCGTCAAACCCTTGCTTATCTTTCATGGGGGCAGCTGATCGACCGAAAACCCTCCTTCGCGCTACATTCCCACCCTCATTTTATCGAAACTTGATATGGTGACCAGATCCATTCAGCGGTCATCTCCTGCTACTCTCTCTAGCCTTTAACCCCATTCTTCCTCCAAGATTACATTTATGCCCTTGGTGCGTTTCGCTCTTTTCTCCCTTCGAGAGCCTCTAGTCCAGAAAATGAACGGTCCATTCCTTATCCGATTGCCGTGATGCCCATTGCCTTCGCCTACTATGTACACACTCATGATCGCTGCAATCCTTCCACTTATAGAATGGTCACTGAATAATTTAGTAGAAATTCTTTATTTGTTCGCCCCGCCCTTGTTTTACCTACAACCTCCGTCCCTGCTCGTGTGGGGGCGCGGCGGGGAGGGGTGGGGGGGGGGGTCGACGTCGTCGTCTTGTCTTCTTCTTCAATTACCCCTTTCTATGTTCAGGTAGGCCATCCTCACCTTTACCTAACCCCCCTGGGAATTTCCAGCTTTCGAGTCCTGTTCTTCTCTCTCCCTTGCTCGAAAGCCCCAACTGTACGGTCGCTTCCCGCTCTCCTTTTTCTTTGACCACTTCCACCTCATCGCATGCCATGCCGAGGATGTGTACACAGATGGTTCTAAGTTCTTCGGACGGCGTAGGATTCGCAGCAATGTTTTCCGGACAGCGTTGTACGAGGGCATTCACTATCTTCGGCTAGTATATTTAACTGCTGAAGTGTTATGCCATCCTTCCGCACTTATCCGTATTGCATCATTGCCTTGTGTCATCATTGTGGTCGCTCAGACTCCCTTAGTGCTTTACCAGGCTATACAGAAAGTTGATACAACCTCACCCCCTTAGTCCTCCATATCCAACTTTGGTCTACGCCACATCTTTACCAAGCATAAAGATATGTTTTTTGTTGGGTCCTAGTCATTTTGACTGTACAGGTCAATGAACAGGCAGACCCTGCTGCGCGTCCAGCAGTACATGACCCTACCATTTTCATATAGAGGTATTCCATTAACGGACTATGTTTGCGGCAATATCTTCCCACCTTAACACCCATTCCGTTGGCAACAACGTTGATCTTACTACCGCTCGGCAACTAAACTTGTCAATCTATTGAATCCGAGTATAGTTAATGGCATCTTGTTATCACCATGACAGGTTTGGGAGACGATCTCTCTCCCGTTCTCCGCATTGGCCATACTCGTCATAACTGCACTGGATATCTCTGCAGAGGCGGCCCTGCTCCCCTCTGGGAGAATTGCCAAGCTCCATTATTCGTCAGCCACATGTCTGTTGGACGGCCCACTTATCAACAGCACGCAGAATTTACCTCCGTCGTCGTCGTCCCTCGCTCCGCTGCTCTCTCTCTTACCGTCCCTTCTCGCTGATGGACCCAACTTCATCCGGACTCTTCTCATCGACTTTTTGAACAACAACTGACTTACTTCGAACTTCATCAAATTTTGGATACTTCAGCCCTTTCTACTTCAAGTCTCTTGCACCCTCTACCCCTGTACTATCCCCGCCCCCTGTTTCTCTGAACTACTGAAATCATGCCCCTCCTTCTGCCACCTATCGCTCCTTCCCTAACCCTCAGCGCTGTATAGCCCTTGTGGCTTAGCGCTTCTTTTTGATTATAATAGTATTATTTATCAAGTCACAAACAGACCTAACTAGGGAAACACAATGAGTGTATATACAGAGAGAATTGCAACATGAAGAGCTAGGTGACACATGTTGAAGTTTACAATTTGGGTGAGCTAATGACAGGTTGGACAAATATATGGCCGAGAAGTTGGATACAAGAAGAACCTGTCTACCATGGACAAGTAGTTCCACTGCAGTGTTATTAATATGTGGAATAACTTTTGTATTGTGATTATTACTTGCTTTAGTATTTATTTAATGTTGTACATTACTGTCATAATTATTTTAAAGAAGGTATTATAGACTGAGTGCATTCACTGACATTCAGGAAAAATGTAAAATTAATGATTTTATTTATATTTAATTGATTTTTCAATGACCAGTACAAAAAAATTTATCAATAAAAAGTATCTTTAATAACATTATTACTCTTCTTATACACTATGTAATGGCTCTTTTGTTTTCCTGTATAATGTATATATTTTTTTAAGACAAAGGACTGAACATTTAAACTGATAAAAAACTAATTTAAATGTACTATACAAACATTTATGAATAAAAATATTTTGGATTGTGGGAATATATACCAAAAAACAAGGTTTCTTGCAAAAATCTCATGTTAAAGAAAATGTGCAAGTGGTAAGAGGTGCTCTAAAATTATTAAAGTAGCTATTAAAAGAAGAATGTTGTAACAATTTCTATCCAGAAAGAGCAAAAAAGGCACAATACACAAATAATCCGCACGTACGAGAGGCGCTTACAATGACATTTTGGTCCAACTTGGGCCATTGACAAAGTCACATTAGCCACTGGCCAGAGTGACTTTGCTACTCCTCTCTCCTGTGTGTGAGCTATTTGCACAATTTCTATCTGCTTCTGTATCAAGGCACCTGCAGGCATACAGTATATATTAAATGTACCAAAATATGGAGTAGATCAAGGACAGATATTTCCCTCATCTAGTCACATACATACATAAACTCAAACAAACTCACCTGAGACAATAAAACAAGAAAAGAGTTTTCAATTTACAAAATATCATTTCTTCTGCTTTGTTGTCCTCCCATGTGGACATGTTCATGCCATTGGTCAGTGTTTATTACACTCTTACTTAGCTATATTTTCTACTTAAAAATAGTCAAGATGTTAGAGATAGTTTCAACACATCTAGAGCACATTCATAAATTCACTGTGCTCAATTTGTTGATATGTCAGGTGCATGCAATTCACTCTCACATCTCATCCCTCTCCCAAAACAGCTGACACTGCCTACATTTTTTAGTTACATTTTTGGAAACATCTTCTGTAACACTTTTTTAAAAAGTTTAACTACTTCAACCAGTCATACTGTGATACAGTATAACTGTATCACAGTGAAAGAAATATTGATAATCCATAGAAATGAAGTACAAAACATATTGATAATTTTATACATAACATCAGTGTTAAATGTTACAAATACAACCTCTCCTCACTTAGCAATGTACTCATTTACCACGACTCAGACTTACGAAGCTCTCTGTCTTCTGACCAACATGCATACCTAAATAATGTATATCAGAGCTGACTTCCTCTATTCTGTTTATTAAAATATACAGTACACTACCGTATAAACATTTAAAAATTTACTATGTATAAATGTCAAAGGTGACATTAAAAAAATATCAAAGATGGCTGACATAAACCCATTACCATTATAGTATCGTTCCTCACTTAGTGACGAATTCATTTACCGATTTTGTCTTAGGAACGGAACTCAGTCATTAAGTGAGGAGAGGCTAGGACAGAAAAGGAGGGAAAGAAGCAAAGGGTTGAGAAGGGGGGGCTTCTTTTCCTAAAATATACCAACTTTGGTCATCTTGGTCCTCAGTAAGCTAAACAAGCAATGTAAAACAATTAAATACTACTGTGCTGATTATTTACAAGTTCAGTGATTTTGTTCTCAGCCAGAGAGAGTCTCTGCTCTAAGATAACGACAGTCTGAGTGAGGGTGTCGAGCTGGGTTATGATGTGTTGTAGAGAACCCTTAACATCTGTAAGAGCTTGAAGCTATATTCCTCGTTCTTTCTTTCTCCATTTCCATTAAATGGCTGAAACAAAATAACATCAAAGTTAATGTTTGGCCAACAATATTAATATTACTTTAGCATATTGATCAGAAGATCAACTGATGCAAGTTATATTCAAAGTCTTTAGGTGCGTAAATATAGGTAAAAATTAATTGTCAGACGCAACTATTTTTGTTAAAGATACAAGACAACTGAAGATGTTATTACAAATGACATTTTCTGCTCTCACAGGAACTTTACCAAGCAAATGAAAGTCCTGGAGACCACAACAGAGGTACTTTCATTAGTTGCTCCTGTGTCCCTTTTACTGAACAGTCTGTAGGCAAGTGCATCTTCTACTTTAAACACTATTTTTATTGAAATCATTGTTTATCACTGTAAAATTAATAAATAAAACAGCACTTTAATTGTTGAATAAAAGTCTACCACAGCATTATATCTATTTCATAACCCTAAAAAGATTCCATCATTGAGTTATCCACATTTTATCCAACAACAGTACTAGTTTCCAAAATTGCTTATATTTCTTGAACTCGTCTTACATCACACCAAGTTACCTAATCACTCCTGAACCATTTACTGTTAAGGTGCAATAAAATTAAACACAGCTTAACACGCTTACTCAGGAAAACTATCACCCTTTACACTTACCATAATTTGTATTTAACATTTTATACAAACCCATGCAAATGTCATTCTTTCACCATTGTTTTAGTCTAAGTGTGAGGAATATTAGTGCACCAGAGTAAATATTTTTAAGCACGAGGCACATAGTCTTAGCTTATATATTCAATCCATGTACATGTATATATGAAGAAGACACAAGGACACTATAATGCCTTGTCTGACAGTACACTGCTGACTCTTATCCCGATACAATGGAACCTCGGGTTTTGTCTTTAATTCATTCCAGAGAGTCTGACGAAAACCGAATTCGGAAAACTGAAACATTTCCCATAAGAAATAATGTAAATCCAATTAATCTGTTCCAGACACCCAAAAAATTGACAAAAAATACATTTTATAGAGAATAACTAGTTTTACATACAGAAAACAATAAAAAATAAATATAAAGCACTAATGAAATGGATAAATGAACATTTAAATCACTTTTACCTTCATTGAAGGCTTTTGTTGGCATATGAAAGACGGCGAGGAGGGGAGAGGGAGGAGAGGTTATCTCTACCACTATCACTACCACCCTCAACCACCATCACTACCTTCCCTCTATAACCCCAAGGCACTTTCACCCCCCCCGCCCACAATCACAACCACTACTGCTCTAACTAACCACCAATCACTACCTTGGGGCTCTGCTCAAGGCCCTACAAAATCTCTGACTGACAGTCAGGCCACATTTCTTCCAGCAGAGTTCATTGTCTCTTAAGACCCCCCTTCAATTCACTGTGACCTTTTTGCAGCAAGAATTTTCACTCCCTTATTACCACAGCCTCTTTTAATTGTCTCCTCTATTTCTCATATGGATGACTGGTAGATTCACCATACCAATAAACCCCGTTAGGGTCTGTGCCTGCCGTAGGACTACGGCTTTAACGTTGAGGTCCAAAACTCGTAGATCTACGTCATGAGCTCAGCTCACTCTGCTAAGCCGCTTGGAGCGTAAAGTTTGCCTAGATATGAGAAGAATACATCTACCGGTATGTGTTCACCACATAAAACAAATCCTGACACATAGGGCATAATGAGAGAAAAAAAACGAAACCCCGAATTTTTCGATTGAAAACAGCGACTTTGCAGATTTTTTTTTACATTAATAACGTTTTTTATAGTTTATTTGCGATTTCATGGGTCTCACTTCATAGAATGGAAGATATATTACAGAAATAGAAGATTTTGATTGGATTTATACTGAAACTGCTTGAAACTCAGCTCAAAGGACGGAAATGGTTAAATTTTGCCGATGTTGAAGAGGTAAACAAATGGACCTCACATGTCTAATACTCGCCCAGCTGGTGGAGTAGAATATACGTCCACAAATGTGGAGTGATATTAAGTTATACAAATTAATTACATAATTGCACAACAGTATAATCTCTATTTTTGGTTTGAATAAAAATTAATTATGTGAATAAAAAATCAAATGGCTTCATTAGTAAAGCCTGGACAGCCAACTATTGAACAGAGAAATGTTATTTAGGGACAGGAATGCCGTGACATTGTTTATTCGGGACCCTAAATTGAAATTTGGAGTATTTTGAAGTTTGCATTTAAATTGGCCCAAATACCATTTCCGATCACTTTATTTGTAGTTGAAAACAGTAGACTCTTGGCGAATGCTTGTGCTCAGTGTCTTTATAGAATAGAATTAATACTAGTGAAATTGCTAAGTAATTTGGTCGACTGGAATAATGTAATTGGCTTAAAATGGAGTCAAAATTCGGCAAAATCGCCGATGCGAAATATCGCTGACACTATCAAAATTCGCGAGAGCATAAGTTTCATCAAATTATCCTTCAATTTCATACCTTTTTTGATTACCTCAGATAAAATTTCTCTACCATTTCTTAACAAAAAAATACCAAATTATTTTTTGAAAATTCTTGACACTTGGTAGCACACTTTGAAATTTGGCCTCTGGACTCCTGAAAGGGATCAGTGGCCAGGTCAACACCGGTGATCCACTTTCCCTTCCCACCTCGCAGTGAGTTCTTTTTTTTCACTTTAATTGTTGTTCTCACTCCCGCACCCTCCTCCTAACTTCCAAACTAACGAATTCTCTGCATGATAAGCACACCACAGACAGTGCCCTCAGACCATGAAATCTCCACTGCCTCCCAGCCTTCTCCTCGCTCAACATTCACACCAAACCCATGCGTCAACACCCAGATAAGACGTTGAAAACTATACTCTCATACAATTCCCCTCTTTGCCTCCAAGACTTCCACAGACTTCGCCTAAGTCTGCACCACGCACCCCTTTTCCCCTCATCAATCGATATTCACATCATCTTTTAGACCCATCCACTCACAACAACCGTCCACTAAACCCAAATATCTTGAATACATTCACCTCCTCCATACTCGCTCCCTCCCAATTCTGATAATCCAATCGTTCATCAACCTAATCTTTTTGTATCCTCATAACTTACGCTGTTCTGTATTCACTTTTAAAGTTTCTTCTTTGCATACCCTAGCCAAATTCATCACCACTCTGCGCAACGTCTCTTCTAACTCCCAAGAACGTCAAGTGTCAATCAGCAAAGAGCAACTGTAGAGGAACTCCCACTTTATGTGTGATTCTTTATCTGTTAAACTCCCGCTCTTGACAAGACCCTCGCATTTACTTCTCTTACAACCCCATCAATAAAATATATGGAACAACCACGGTGACATCACACATCCTTGTCTAAGTGCCTCCCTACTTTTACTGGAGGAAATAATTTCCCTCTTTCCTACATACTCTAACTTAAGCCTCACTATCCCTCTAAAAAACTCTTCACTGCTTTTCAGTAACCTAACTCCTACACCATACACCTGCAAACTGCCACATTGCCCCCCATCCACTCTGTCATATGCTTTTCCAATTCCATAAATGCCACAAAGACCTCTTTAGCCCTGATCTAAATACGGTTTCGACTTATGTGTATCAATCACTGTAAACACCTGTCCACACACCCCCTATACCTTTCCCCTAAAGCCGCCTTGTTCATCTGCTATCCTATTCTCCGGATCTTAAACTCTTAATTCTTTCAATAATTCAATAATTCAGGGTTTCAGGGAAACCGGCAGGCCGGACTTGATTTCCTGGAGAAGGGAGATAGCGTGCCTGCACTCGAAGGAGGGATTTAATGTTGCAGTTAAAAAAACTGCGTATGTAAAGCACCCTCTGGCAAGACGAGATGAGTGAATGATGGTGAAGAGTTTTTCTTTTTCGCCACCCTGCCTTGTGGGAATCGGCAGTGAGTGGGATAATATATAAAAAAATAAAAAATTATAAATATATCATATATAATATATATATATATATAAATATTTATATATATATATATATATAATATATATATATATATATATATATAAATATATATATTTTATTAGTCACACCGCCGATTCCCACCAAGGCAGGTGGCCCGAAAAAGAAAAAACTTTCACCATCATTCACCCATGCACTGTCTTCCCAGAATGGTGCTTCTTACACTACAGTTTTTAATGTGCAACGATTATACATCCCTCCTTCAGAGTGCAGGCACTGTAATTCCCTTCTCCAGGACTCAAGTCTCGGCCTGCCGGTTTCCCTGAATCCCTTCATAAATGTTTACGTTGCTCAGACACTCCAACAGTCACGTCAAGTATTAAAAACCATTTGTCTCCATTCACTGCACCTGTCCTATCAAACACGCTCACCGCATGCCTCGGAACCAAGCCCCGCGCACTACAAAACCTCCTTTACCCCTCCCCCCAACCCTTCCTAGGCCGACCCTACCACCACTCCCGCCTTCCTTCACGACAGACTGATACACTCTTGAAGTCATTCCTGTTTCCGCTCCATTCTCTCTACAAAGTCCGAACCACCTCAACAACGCCTTCCTCAGGCCCTCTGGACAACAGTTTTGGTACTCCCGCAGCCTCCTCCTAACTTCCAAACTAACGAATCTCTGCATTAAATTCACACCACACATTGCCCTCAAACATGACAAGCTCCACTTCCTCCAGCCTCCGCTCGCTGCAACCATCATCACCCACGCTTCACACCCCATGAAAGAGCGTTGTAAAACTATACTCTCATACATTCCCTCTTTGGCCTCCAGGACAAAGTTCTTGTCTGCCACAACTCCTAAGTGCAAACCACTCACTCTTTTCCCTCATCATTCTATGATTCACCTCATCTTTCATAGACACCATCCTGCTGACGCGTCCACTCCCAAATATCGAATATTCGTTCACCGCCCTCCAGACTCTCTCCCGCCAATCTATATTCAAGAATGCTTTCATCCCTAATCTTTTGTTATCCTCATAACCTTACTCTTTCCTGATTCATCCTTTAATTTTTCTTCTTTTGCA